GCATGCCTGTGGTCCCAGCTACTTTGGAGGCTGAGGTAGGAGGATCGCTGGAGCCCAGGAGGTTAAGCCTGCAGTGTACCATGATCATGCCACTGCACTCACCTGGGTAACAGAGTGAGATCCTATCTCAAAAAAAAAAAAAAAAAAATTTTTAGCTGTATATAGTTTCCTTAGTGAAGAAAAGGAGAAGGGAATAAGATATTCAGGCAAGGTTAAAATATTGACGCAGAAATAAAATAAGCTAATAATGGGCTTTAGAGGGTGATTAAAAGGTAACTAGCAAAGACTCTGGATTTGGGAAAAGGAAAAGAAGCATTTGTGATATCTGTCTCTCTTTCCTGCAGTTCTCTGCTTAATTTTTGCTGAGTAACTCAACTTACATTTATAGAATGTGGGGAGGGAGCAAAATTAGAACTCAGTGTTATCAAGGGCTAGTTCCTTTGGCCCTGAGAGCCTCTGTCTTCACTCAGCTTGCTTCTAACACCACAAAGTCACGTTAGGGGGATAGACAGAAAGGCAAACATGTATTTTGTGGAACACAGATAAGATGTAAGACTCTCAGACTGTGGCTGGAATGATCAAAGATCCAAAAAGAAAGATTAAATTACAATGAGAAAGAGGAATGAAGCAATGGAAAGTCCAGAGTCTGAGATATAGGAAAGGAGTGTCTCCAAAGGCAGAGTGTTAAATACTTCAGGCATTAAATATACCGTTCCAAGCATTAAAGGATCAAGAACTAATCCTAGCACATTCCTGGTGGTTTACAAAAATAAATGGGATATGTTTTATAATGAAATCAACTGCTCAAGACATAGAGAATGTGGATACCTCAACAAAGCAATCTAATGGTTATTTTTAATACCATCATAAAGTTTTTGTTAATAAACAAAAACTGTTTACAATAATTAAAACATCTTCTCAATGTCCTTGGATCTTACCTTTACATATCTGATTTAATGTAATGAATTAAGTTTTCATATGTACCTGTTTGGTACCTTAGAGAACAGAATAAAGCTTTATTAGAAAAGTGTCATTTGAACTATAACCTCTGCACATTTTTTTTTCTGTTACTTTGTCACAGTTATTTTTTCAATTATTTTTTAGTGTTTCTGTATATTTTAGGTAACAAAACACTGAAGTAAGGCAGTGACAAAAAGAACCTGAAAGAGGGGGGTTACTGTGACAGAATAGCCTCAGGACTTGCTGATGAGTAGGTGCAGAAAGGAAGGAAGAGAGGGAGGATCAAACCCCATTCCAACCCGAATCTTCCAGAAAAGCCTGAGGATTAGTGATGGGAGAGCGAAGAGTCCCTTTTGGCTGAAAGAGAAGTTATGAGAACAGAAGCAGTGGTAGATGAATGGGAAGTGACTGAATTTACCCAGCTTATGATTGGGAATCCCGAATATTTTAACTGAGATAAGAAACTCAGCAACAAAAATGGTGTTGGGATCTAATGTTTTTTTTAAATTTTTAGTCCTTTCTTAAAATTTGGCATTTATTTCAAGTGTGATTTTTTAAATTAAGAATTAGTTTTGGTAAAAATATTTGAATCATAATAAGTTTGACTTTCCAAAATTAGGGAATGTCTTTTATGTGTGTTACATTTATTCTTCACCTCATTCTCAAAGTAATTTGAAGAGTATAGAGAAAGAAATTTAGAATGAAAGATAATTTTAAGTGAATTGACAAGGAATTCAGAGTGAAGCATATAGCAGGGAAGAAAAAAAAATCTACAAGCTATGCCAAAGGGCAAGTTAATAAACAAAATATCTCCCACTACAGCCCACATAGTAACTATATTGAAAAGTCGAATACTCTGCTAATTAAAGAAAAATAGAATTCAGATTATTTATGGTAAATGCCTACTACTTAAAGTTTTGCTAGTCATGGCGATTTAACAAAAGTAAAATCCGCCATAAACCTATGTAAGAGCTACTCTATGGCAAAATAGACAACATCCTTCCCAATATTCCTATAATAAACGCATCAGCTAGCTTTGTATGGCTGTGCTTATAACTACTTTCAATGCAAGCTAAGATAATTTAAAAGCACATTTCATAAAGTTAAATATATGCAATCATATTATATTGTGATGGAAGGGTGCTAGGACTCATTCAGTCTTAAATATTCATCTAAGCACCACTGTACTTGAAATGAAGTGATTTCACCAAATCAAAATTCTTCCATTCCAGGAAACTCACTTTAAAGCACAAACACTAGTAAAGAACAATGCAACAAGTCACTCACTCTGTATTATTTTACTTTATTTGATAGTTTTCCTTCAATACCTAAATCTAAGCAATATCAGGCCTGCCTCATGTGGATCCTTCAAATAAAACATAAAATGTATAAAATATGCAAGAAGTTGTGTGAATTCTAGGTTATAATCAGGAATGATCTCCTCCAACACAAGACTATGAAACAGCTAATTTAGCCCCTGTCAGATCCAATTATATTAGACTTGCTTCTCACAATGGGATAAACTATATATCTGCTGGTGAGCTATCCGTGAATTTTCATCAGAAATCTCTCATTTCAGCAATATAATTTAGACTAAGCTAGAGCTAAGATAAAGCAGGAACCTTTGTTCTTGGAAAGGATACACATGATGGAATGCCCCTTTATTTAGTGTTGAAGATAAAAAAAAAAAAAAAACCGGAAGCAAATACTCTATCTACTCCTTTACCACAAGTTATTATTATTTTTGTGTGTTTGTGTTCAAGATCCATGTATCTCTGAGCAGCTATGAAAAGGCTTCCTGGAAAACAATAAGCAAAGAAAAAAATGTGTCCCATCTCACATGGTTCTACCCTACTAGAGACAGGAAGATCATATACTGACAGATATTGAAATTGTAAGACTTGGAAACTACATTTTGCAAAGTCATTGAACTCCGAGCTCAGTTGCAGTACTCGGGAAGCCATGCAGGATGAAGATGGATACGTCACCTTAAATATTAAAACTCGAAAACCAGCTCTCATCTCCGGTAAGAATGCTCAGAGCCAATAATTTGGAAATTAATCTTAAAAATGAGTTGATTCAGTTTTTTTCTTTTTCTACTGTTGATAGTGTATATAGTTTAATTTCTTTTTCTTGAATGATGTTAATGCTCTAAAGCATTTGAGTAGTGTTTTCATAAGCTCATACAGACCTATTTAGATTACAAGCATCCAATACACGTGCAGGGAAAACTGCATTAAGGTTCTGAGCGTTTAATGCTGGAGGGTACAGAAGTCAAGGGGATAAGGGAAGAGAATGTTTGGAAGTTTCATTTTCTGAATGTGAGCAAATGAGTGTGATTCTTCATTTGCTGTTTATTAAAGCAATTATTCATGGAATGGGTGGGCATAAGACAAAACAAAACAAAAAATACAAACACATCAGGCCTTAACAGCAAGTAATATTTTGGCTTGGAAAGGTAAAGTCCATTGGGGATGAGGATGGGTGTGTGGTATGGGAGTGGGCCATGTCTATTGTTGATGATCATCAAGAGAACACAGGTGAGATCTGCCAGCAAAGCTCTTTCTATTACTTGGAGGATCTTGAGACGGCAGGGACAGGGGCAGGGGTGAGCCTTCCCCATAGCTAACCCACACTGCCTGCTCCTTGATATCTTTATTATATGCCTACAGTTGATCCTGCTTCTTCCTCCTGGTGGCGTGTGATGGCTTTGATTCTGCTGATTCTGTGCGTGGGGATGGTTGTCGGGCTGGTAGCTCTGGGGATTTGGTGTAAGTATTGACTCTGCCAGAAATTCGATTGGAGGAAGGTAATACTGAAAGGGTCATGGCATATCCCATTAAGCTTCTCAATGGTCACTATTTGTCTATTTGTCACTATTCTAATTGTCCTACAGATAGTTACCAAGAGAATCTCAATAAAGGAGAATGCTGACCATTTCCTTGAGTTTAAGATAAGGTTTGAAGATTTTAATTAATTAAAAGTTATTTTTAAAAATGTACCACCAGCCTTTAAGACCCTCCTCAGTGTGGATCCAAACTATTTTTAAAACTTCCTTGTCACTTTTCCTATCTTGCATATCCTAAGAACCAGCCAAACTGGAGTTTTTCAATTTCATATATAAATTCCATGTTCCCTTGTCTGAAATTTTTCTCATTCTATTCTCTCTATCTAACATTTTCTGCTTCTCATTTTGTTTACTAAATTATTGCACATTTCTTCTTTCTGTAATTCTCACAGCCCTCCAATGGCACATTGTAGTCTGTGGAGTTGTTGCTTGTTTGTGCATTTGTTGATTTTTTAAAAGATGTTAGAATCTAACACTTATCATCCTGTATTTCTTTATTATTTACCTGAATATCACAAGTACTTTAAGCATAACGAGAAATCAGTATGCACTTTTAAATGAATGAATAGTTTGGCATCACAGAAAGTACAGAAAATAAGAGGTCATTCACCTCTACAACTCAGTTGAGAAGCTTGTATTGAAGCAGGTGAATACAGGCTCTGGGGATATTACTGATGTTGGGATTTTTTTATCTGTGATTGTCTCCTTCAAACAGTTCACTCATTAAATCTCAGGTGTTCTATTTCTTGATTTGTTCTTTATAGCCCCTTCACACTTTTCAACATTCATTTAATCATGTGTATCTAGTTAACTCCTCACATATTGGCAATGTTAATGAAATGAAAATTCAATGACAGATCTTTGCATCATTTCTATGGTTCTAATTACAAATTATTATTATTTACTTTTTGAATCTAGCTGTCATGCAGCACAATTACCTACAAGATGAGAATGAAAATCGCACAGGAACTCTGCAACAATTAGCAAAGCGTTTCTGCCAATATGTAATAAAACAATCAGAACTAAAGGGCACTTTCAGTAAGTACTGTTTTTTTAACCTCTTCATCTCTCCAACCCCTGGAGCATTTCTCTTATGGCAACTGAAGGGAGTCTTGAGATATGCAGAAAACATTGAATGTGGAGAACATGTAAGCCCAATTTAGAAAAAATACACCATTCCTGTGCTTGGTTTCTCCAGAAGGTCATAAATGCAGCCCCTGTGACACAAACTGGAGATACTATGGAGATAACTGCTATGGGTTCTTCAAGCACAACTTAACATGGAAAGAGAGTAAGCAGTACTGCACTGACTTGAATGCTACTCTACTGAAGATTGACAACCATAACATTCTGGTAAGAAGATTCTTATGTCAAATATTTTGGAGGCAAGGGAGAGAAACCTCAAATGTAACACTTGACCTTTTTTGTTTTTTACATTTTTCTTAACATCTTTCAGTTTGTACTAATCTAAGAACCTTATGAAACCTAGTAAGAACTACAGAACCCAAATATTCAATCCAATCATAATATTCTACAACGTTGCTAGAGTTGATCAGTCAAATTGACTTGTCCCTTCCTGACAGCTCAGGACATAGTGGGTCACACGCAAAGAGTCAGCCCAGCAATGTTCACATTTATTTGTGTCCTCTGTTGTTCTAACTTGCTGTGCTGTCCGCTTACTGTTTCTGTGGACTCAGACTCATGCGGGAGATATCCAGTTAAACAAATTAGCTTTTCTTTCCACTCCAGCAAAATAAGATAGTTTTCTAAAAATCTCAGCTCTATTATATAGAGATTAATTCGAGACATATATGCATATCCTGAATTTGTATTAGTCTAGGCAGATGCCAGGTTGAAGATTTATAACTAAAAGTAGTCATGCAACTTTTTGAGAATAAGAAATTGTATAGTTGGATTTCAGGTAGAATTTATCTGTCAGTTCCTATTGGGAAGTATAGAATATTGATATATTTTAAAGAAAATATTAGGAAATAACAGAAAGGTTCCTGGTGGCTCAAGCTTTAAGAAATAAACAGTCACACATGACTTTCACACAATATCTCCTGTGGAATGCCATTTTGAGTCTCACATATCTGCCAAGAAGCTCAAGTCATTTTTTATTTACCAAGAATGCATCATCACTTGTTATTCTGGGAGGTCTGAGAATGTATAAGCATTTGGCCTTCACATAATTTTGTTACCTATAGGTTGATTGATTCACTTATTCCTTCATTAATTCAACAACTATGTGCTGAAACTATTCCAGAATTTGGACCTATGCAGTTAATAAGACAGAAAGAAAAATCCTTAACCTCAAAGAGAGTATATTCTAGTTAAAGCAACAGCCAAGAAACAAAACAAATGATATAGTATATAGTTTACTAGATAGTGATAATTGCTAATTAGAAGAAAGTAAATAGGGAAAGGTAGATGTACGTTATTTATAAATCGTTTTGAGAAAGACATCATAGATGCCTTTATGCAATTAACTAAAACAAGTTAATACTTCTATATATAAGATTTTATAGGCAAGACGAGCAATAAAACCAAAGCAGGTAGGACTTTAACTCTAAGGAATATACAGCTCATCAACAATATATTTCTTTGTGTTTCCTTTCTCTGTTTACATGTATTCCTTTGAATCATATTTGGTATTCTATTTGGGAGTATAATCCTCAACTGATTGAAGATCTAAATATATGTCATAAAACAAAGCAAGATTAGAATATCAGCTATTTTGTGTACGATTTTACCTGTGTCCTACAACTTTTTTTTTAAGTTCTCAGACAAGTCAAATTGGTACAATTTCAAACATCAAATGTAATTCATTAATATTAATATAGACATGTAATCCAACATTTTTTGTCCAACGTCTTATCATGAAGCTTGTCTGTCATTACCAAGAGCTGTGGAGGGATTCTGATTATTGTGTTTATTTATGTTTACTATAGGAATACATCAAAGCCAGGACTGGTTTAATTCGTTGGGTCGGATTATCTCGCCAGAAGTCCAATGAGGTCTGGAAGTGGGAGGATGGCTCGGTTCTCTCAGAAAACATGTAAGTCACTGGACACTTAGAATAGGAGGCAGTACTAGAAACTCTTATTCTTGAGATTTCCTTTTCTTTCAGTCCAAGTCACTACTATGGATTGTATAAGCAGCAGCTGGTTCATTTACCTGCTAATTCAAACAAGAGAGTACTGGTCATAAGACAATTCTTCTTTCCCCTCTCCCCCATTCTTTTGCTCTTTATCTAGGCCACAATCCACCTTTATCTCTGATATTATTCCCATTCATTTTTACATTCAACTTTACCATGGAACACTGTGTGCATGTATGTGTGTGTGTGTGTGTGTGCGCGTGCACGCGCGCACGAGCACGCATGCGTGCATGTGTGTGTGTGTTCGTGTTTTGCTTGCTCTGATTATCTTCATATATTTTTGAAACAAAATTTCATTATCATTATTTTACAGTTGACAGTTGTTACCTTGAGAGTCCTTTTGAATTTTCAGTGTTTTTTTTGCCTACTCTTCTATTCTAGGAGTCTCCAAGAATTCGATACTTTGTAGTTCACAAGATAATTCCAATGTCCATTAATGAAGCTTCATCCTTCTACAAACAATCCAGGCAAAGGGACTAATTGCATTAAGAGTTGAGCTGCTTCCTATATGGCTTTCTAATCTCTAGTCTTAACATCTTTTGTTCATCCTGTACATCAAAACTGCAGTCTCTCTTCAATTAAAATTTAAACTGATAACCAAAACTTATATAATCTGATAATTAAGTTATTAATTAAATTTTTAAACAAATATTTATTAAGTATTTGCTATAGGTAGAATCTTAGGATACTACAACTACAAGCAAGCCTCTTCACAGACCTTGGGCTTTATCTCCTATCTCCCATTGCTTGCTGCCTCATTCACAATATTGCAGGCAAATTAGTGTTCTTTCCATTCTTCCAACAAATCAAACTTGTTTTGTTGCCTTAAGACTTTTGTCTTGCTATTTTCTTCTGCTAGAATGCTCTGCCTCCACAACTCCATGACCATCTATCTCCTGTGACTCAAGTCTCTCTTTAAACATCACTTCTTCAATGAGGCTAACTCTACCCAAACTAAATTAGCCTCCCTTAAACCCACATCCATACAGTCTACCACTGTTTTGTTTCTTTGTAACTCTTACCATTGTCTGAATTTTTCTTGTCTGTTTTTTGTGGGCTTCCTGCTGATATCGCCCCACTGAAATGAAAGTTCCCCAACAAGAAAGACATTATCTTCCTTGTCTTTCTTTATCAGTGTGTCCTCAGCACGTAGAAAATCTTTGCCACATGGTTCTGCAGATATTTTCTAAATAAACTAATAAGTATATGTTCCTTGTCCTCTCATTATAAGCAGTTTAGAAAGAAATAAATATAACTTAACAGACAATTAAAATACAGCATGTTGTCTTAGATGATTTATCTTGTAACAGAAAGCCTGATTTCAAAACTACTGAATCAACTCACTTTTCCACGAGTGTATTCCCATCCATTGCAGCTACTTGTCCTGTAGGGCTCTTCCATCTCCTGTCAGTTCATCTAAGCCCTGACTTTCCATCAATACTGAACTAAAGTCTGATCTTGTAGATAACGCATTTTCCCATTATTCTGGAGCCATCTCCATCACTTCTTCAGGGCTCCTATTGTACCTAGAGTTCCCTTGCTCCCAATCTTATGCTACATGAAATTGATATTGGGCTTTTCAAATATACGTACCTTGCACTGCCAAGCAGCGTGGAAGTTTCTCAACAATGAGAATTGTTTTTTCTTTTTTTCCTATTTTCCTCAGAGTCTCTATTTGGTGCATCAAACTACTATACACAGAGTTTGATTACTGATTGTTTGCTTAGTTTTCAAAGGAATTTATTCTAACTTTCCCATTCACAGGTTTGAGCTTTTGGAAGACGGAAAAGGAAATATGAACTGTGCTTATTTTCATAATGGGAAAATGCACCCTACCTTCTGTGAAAACAAACATTATTTAATGTGTGAGAGGAAGGCTGGCATGACCAAGGTTGACCAACTACCTTAATGCAAAGAGATGGATAGGATAACACAGATAAGGGCTTTATTGTACAATAAAAGATATGTATGAATGAATCAGTAGCTGAAAATTGCGTATTTCTCCCTTTCTTCTCTTTGGAGTTATTTTTAATATTATCTTTCCTATCAGAATTACCTAGTCTCTTCTTTGAATATACAGAAACAATAACATGAGTTTATCATTTACTTCCCAATTGTTCTATTTTCCTTTAATTTTCATTCTTCTTGTCCTCCATTTCTAATTACCTGAACATAGTATGATTTACTGCATCTTCAGATGTATACATATAAAATCAAAATCAGGCCAATATAGGTTAGGGCTTAATTAATATAAGTTGTGCAAAAAGTTGTTGAAATCTGTCCAAACTATCTAAGTTTGAAAGGCAGTGTAAGATAGTAAAAGGAATATTAAACTTAGAATCAGCAAAATAATTTAGGTGTCAATTATGTAAATGACAATCATGAACCAGTTTCATAGCCCTTTTAACTTCCTTTTTCTCATATTTAAAATAGAAATAATAACACCCATCTTTTATACCTCACAGTTCTACAACCTAAAATAAAACTTTAGAGTGTTAACTGTACTAGAAACTCCATGAAAGCGAAGAGTATGACTTCCCCATTCACTATTCTGTTACCAGCACCAACCCCAGACCCTGGCTTACAAAACAGAGAGATATTAGTTTCTCATTGTATAAGATAATTCATGAGAAAAATACCTCAATCATTAAAACATTACACAAATACAATTACTATTCCAAGTCTACCTCTGGTTAGATTCAACAGTAGTAATTTTCTGTGCTAGAGAAGGAAAAGAAAGTTTGCAAGAAAACTCATGGGGTTTGTAAAATGAATAAATGCTTCTTAACAAGTTTCAGAGGCTACTAGACAGAAGGACAAGTAAGAATGCTTTATCTAGCGTTTTCCTAACAGTTCTGTGCTTTATTTTTGCTGAGTAACTGAGGAAGCATTTACAGAATATGTAGAAAGGCACCCTTTCACAGGATATAGGCAAAAGTTGCATTTCTTTCCCACAGCTTCCCTTTTTTAACTAGTGGATACAATTTATGAACATGATTCTCAAACATCTCAATGGAGGTGTTGGTCAAAACATAGAGAAACCAAATAGGAAACACAAATGCTGATGTTACTCAGTGGGAAGACTGAGGACACACAGAGACCTGGGTTTTTACCAGCACCATGACACAATTCTTATACAAGTAGTCTTTAATACAGTTAGAAAAATATCACTACTTTAGAACTTACTCTCTATGTGGCTTTGGATAAGTAATTTAGTGTCTTTAAAACTGTATTTTCTCATCTTGAAATGGGTTTGATATTATTACCTTGCTCATAAGTTAATTGTGAAGATCATTTAATATGATTATGTAAAGTATTGATCAGAATTCCAAGCATGTAACACATCCTTAATAAATGTGTGTTACTCTTAAAGCTCTGTGCACTAACACTCAAAGACACTTGAATATTTATCTTTTTTCTAGACTATCAATAAATAAGCAGATTTGGAGGGCTTAGGAACAATAACAGAAATACCTCAAATTTTACTTGTTACTTCAAATGTCTGGAGATCTTGGATTTGGGTAATGGTATCAGTATGTTTTTTATTTTGAATTGTCTATTTAGAGAAACTAAATAGAAACTAATAATTCAGAAAACTTTAGTATCTCTGGACTTTGTTTCATCCTCCCCAAATGGAAAAATATATGTGTATACATCACTATAGCACACATAAACTTAGAAGAATAATATCTTAGTGCATGGCAACAATACAATTAAAACTGTAAGCCAATCACTGTCATTTTTTTTCTGGTATTCCTATCTAAAGCATCTTATACATAAAATCAAAACAGCACAAATGTTAGTAGCACAGGTCAGACCACCTCATTTCAAATACTAAATCTTTTACATGTTATCTAAGTGAACTTCAGCAACATTTGACTTCTGCCTTGTTCAATTTGAAACTAACTGACAGGCATGCCTTAGAAATATTGTGGGTTCAGTTCCAGACCACCACAATAAAGCAATTACTGCAATAAAGTGAGTCACACTAATTGTTTGTTTTCCCAATTCATATAAAAGTTACGTTTGCATTACACTGTCTTCTATTAAGTATGTAATAGCATTATGTCTAAAAAATGTACACAGTTTTGTTAAAAATACTTTATTGCTAAAAATGCTAACAATTATTTGAGTCTTTAGTGAGTGAAAATCTTTTTTTGCTGGTGGAGCCTTGATGTTGATGGCTGCTGATGGATCAGAGCAGTGGTTGCTGAAGGATGGGGTAGATGTGGCTATTTTTAAAATAAGACAACAGTGAACTTTGTGGTGTCAATTTAGTCTTCCTTTTATGAAATTTTTATCTGTAGCATGAGATGCTGTTAAATAGTATTTTACTCATAGTAAACTTCTTTCAAAATTGAAGTCAGTCCTCTCAAATCCTGCTACTGCTTTATCAACTAAGTTTATGCAGTATTCTGAATACTTTATTATCACTTCAACAATGTTCACAGCGTGTTCACCGGGAGTAATATTTGTCTCAAGAACCATTTTCTTTGCTCATCCATAAAAAGCAGCTCCTCATTTATTAAAGTTTCCTGATAAAATTGCATCAATTAAGCCACATCTCCAGGTTCCACTTCCAGTTCTAGTTCTCTTGCTATTTCCACCATACCTGCAGTTACTCCCACCACTGAAGTCCTGAACCCCTCAAAGTCATCCATGAGGGTTGGATTCAACTTCTTCCAAGTGTCTGTTAATGTTGATACTTTGTCCTCCTTCCATGAATCACAAATCTTTTTAATGGCATCTAGAATGGTAAATCGTTTGCGGGCGGTTTTCAATTGACTTTGCTCTGATATATAAGAAGGATCACTATCTGTGGCAGTTATAGCCTTCTGATGTGTATTTCTTAAAGAATAAAACTTGAAAGTCAAAATTACTCCTTGATTCATTGGTTGCAGAAACGGATGCTGTGTTAGCAGGAATGAAAACATTAACCTCCTGGTCCATGTCTATAAGAGCTCTTGAGTGACTAGGTGCATTGTCAATGAGCTATAATATTTTGAAAAGAAAAAAAAAGACCTTTTTTTTTTCTTCTGAGCAGCGTTTCTCAACAATGGGCTTAAAATACTCAGTAAACAATGCTATAAACAAATGTGCTGTCATCCAGACATTGTTGTTTCATTTGTAGAGCATTGGCAGGTTACATTTAGCATAATTCTTAAGATCCCTAGGACTTTTGAAATGGTAAAAGACTACTGGCTTTAACTTAAAGTCACCAGCTGCATTAGCCCCTAACAAGAGAGTCAGCTTGTCCTTTGAAGATTTCAAGCCAGATGTTGACTTTTCCTCTCTAGGTATAAAAATCCTAGATGACATGTCTTTCCAATACAAAGCTGTTTCATCTATGCTAAAAATCTATTGTTCAGTGTAGACACCTTCAGTTATCTTAGCTATATCTTCTGGGTAACTTGCTGCAGTTTCTACATCAGCACTTACTGCTTCATCTTTCGTTTTTATGTTAAGGAGACGGCTTGTTTCCTTAAACCTCATGAACCAACCTCTGCTAGCTTCTAACTTTTCTTCTGCAGCTTCTTCACCTCTCTCACTCATCATAGAATTGACAAGAGTTAGGATCTTGCTCTGGATTAGGCTTTGACTTAAGAGAATGTTGTGATTGATTTCATCTTCTATCTAGACCACTAAACTTTCTCCGTATCAGAGATAAGCCTGTCTTGTTTTCTTATTATTTGTGTGTTCTCTGGAGCAGCACTTGTGATTTCTTTCAAGAATTTTTTCTTTACATTTGCGTCTTGGCTAGCTGTTTTATATAATCAGCCTAGCTTTTGGTCTATCTGGACTTTCGACATGCCTTCCTCACTAAGTTTAATCCTTTTTAGCTTTTGATTTAAAGTGAGAGACATGCGACTCTTCCTTTACTTGAACACTTACAGGTCTTTGTAGGGCTATTATTGGCCTATGTTTAATATTGTTAGGGCTCAGTAAATATAAGGAGGCCCAAGGAAAAGTAGAGAGATGAGGGAACAATTGTTCAGTGGAACCGTCAGAACATACACAGTATTTATTGATATTTATCAATAAAGTTAACTGTCTTATATGGTTCATGGTTTTGTTAGGAATAACGCTCAAAATCCTAAGGAAATTAAACACTCAAACAAAGGATTCTTAGCAAAGCAATTTTACTTCTGCACAGAGGGGTGCCTCCTTGGCCAGTTGCCACGAGAGCACACCTGAACAGAGGGGCACCAGAGCCTTTATTCCTGATGCAAGTCCTGCCCGTGTACCTTTTCCCCATTGGCTGGGGTCAGGTCGTACATTCTAAACTAATCCCGGTTGGCTAAACATTTGATTTTTTTTTTAGATAGGGCGGGCACGTAAAAGAATTGGAGAGGAAGGGGAAGGGGTGTCTGTAATGAGCTAGAATGTTAGTCCTCTTTCCAAATAAGGAAAGGAAAGTGAGCTGGTACTGATAACGCCTGGTACTGTGGCATGCCTGGGCATCTAACAAGCCAAAAAGAAAAAAAGTTGCAAAAAGGTGGAGGGGTACTATGAATTAAAGAATAAAAGATTGATCAGATTATTTGAAGAGCAACTTCATCATATCCCGCAACTTCCCCTTTCCCTTTTGTTATAACTCTTTCTCTTCAAATCTTTCTAACGTAATTTGGCTGCATTGTTCTACCTGGTCTTCTTGAAGGAAAAGCCTATTTGAATCAGGGGTGGAGGATCCTAAGAGGTTTTAGTGAGAGCTATTTCAATAAGTCTTTGAATTAATCCTCAGGCACAGGGTATGATGCAGCATCCTACTAGAATAAGCAACCCTTTTCCAATGGCCAGAGACAGGATTGAGGACATAAGTCCCTTCCATCTACCAAACAAATTTCCTATTAAATTTGTGAAGGGATCATTTAGTTCAGAATTTTTGGCTAGCTCATTTGATAGGGCAGTACGACTCTGTAATGCTTTAGTTATGGTCTGCCAGGAGCAGTGTTATTAGGGATATAAGTACAGCATTGAATCCTGATCGTGACACAAACTCCACCTTCTTTTGCTAGTATCATGTCTAATGCTATCCTGTTTTCCCAGGCCATTTGACTGGCGGTCCGAAGGAATTAATAAAGATCAAAGAACAATTAACACATTGGAATATTGTCAGACATAAAATTTATAAATGAAAGACTAATCTAAGAAAGAAAAAAACCCCAGATAAATGCTTACTGTCTAACTGGGAAAATTGTACAGATAATTTTGCTGTCTTTGAAATTATTCTGTATTCAAGGTAGCATTTTTTCCCATTCTAATACCACTTGCTAATTTTACTATAAAAATAAATATTTTCAACAACAGAAATTGCAAAATAAAAAAACACATAAACCATATCATCTTAGAATCTCATCTTCCTCATTACATGTATAAGAAAACAGGCAAGGTGCAATGGTTTATACCTGTAATCCCAGTACTTTAGTAGGCTGAGGTGGGTGGATTATTTCAGTTCAGGAGTTTGAGACCAGCCTGGGCAACATGGCAAACACTGTCTCTCCACAAAAAAAAAAAAAAAAAAAAAAAAAAAAGTCAGCTGGCTGTGGTGACACATGCCTGTAGTCCCAGCTACTTGGGAGGCTGAGGTGGGAGGATTGCTTGAACCTAAGAGGTCAAGGCTGCAGTGAGATATGATCATGCCACTGCACTCTAGCCTGGGCAACAGCATGAGATCCTGTCAAAGGGAAGAAAGGAAAGAGGGAAGGAAGCAAGAAAGGAATGGAAGGGAAGGGAAGGGAAGGGAAGGGAAGGGAAGGGAAGGAACGAAGGAAAGGGAGGGAGGGAGAGAGGAAGAAAGAAAGGAAGGAATATTTGCTTTAGTAATATTAATAATAATATTAAATATACTAGTAATAGGTGCTCTGTTTTTGGGTGCATATATATTCAGATTGTTATGGTTCCTTCATCATTATGTAATTATTTTATGTCTCTTTTTATGGTTTTTGACTTAAATTATGTTTTATCTGATATAAGTATAGCTACTCCTGCTCATTTTTGATATCCAATGTGAATTCTTATTTTCCATCCCTTTTCAGTCTATATGTATCTTTACAGTTGAAGTCAGTTTCTTGTAGGCAGTACATAGTTGAATCATTTTTTAAAATCCGTTTTGCAGTCTACATCTTTTACTTGAGAAATTTAATCTGTTTACATTTAAGGTTATTACTAATAGGTAATAAATTATTTCTGTCATTTTGCTAATTGTTTTATGATTGTTTTATATATGCCTTTTCCTTTCTTTCTCTCTTATTATTTATCATTGTGGTTTTGTGGTTTCCTGTAGTGGTAATATTTGTCTCATTTTTCTTTCTCATTTGTGTGTCTGCTATACTAATCTGTTTCATACTTTGATATTTTTTCATTATGGTGAATATCATCCTTTTATTTCCCAATGTAGGACTCCCTTAAGCATTTCTTAAAAGGCTGGTCTAGTGATAATTAATTCTCTCAGTGTTTGCTTGTTTGGGAGATTTCATTTCTCATTTTGAAATACTGTTTTGTTGATTGTAGTATTCTTGACTGTTACTTTTTCTCTTTCAGCAGCTTGAATAGAGCATTCTATTTTCTTCTGGTCTGTAAGGTTTCTTGCAAAGCAATTCACTTAGTCTAATGGGAATTCTCCTCTATATGACTTGATACTTTGCTCTTGAGGTTTTTAGAATTTTCTCTTTGTCTTCTACTTTTGACCGTTTGACTACAATGTGCTTTGCATAAGATCTTTTAAGGTTGAATTTTTTTGGAGGTCTTTGAACTTCCTTATCTGAAGGTCTATATCTATTGCAAGGCTTGAGAAGCTTTCGGCTGTTATTTTGTTTAATTGGTTTTTTGTTTGTTTGTTTTTGTTTTTTAGAGATAAGGTCTCACTCTGTCTCTTGGGCTAGAGTGCAGTAGCGTGAACATGACTCACTGCGGCCTTGAACTCCTCAGGCTGGAGTGCAGTGATGTGATCATGGCTCACTTCAGCCTCGAACTCCTGGGCTTAAGCACTCCTCCCACCTTAGCCTCACAAAGTGTTGGAATTACAGGCATGAGCCACCACGCCCAGCCTGTTAAAGGTTTTTATGTCTTTGCATTTCTTTTCTTTTTCTGGAATTTCTACATTTTGAATATTTGCTTCCTTTATGGTATCCCCTATGTCATGTAGAATTCTTCATCCTTTTTTCTTCTTTTTGTTTTGTTTGGGTTATTTCAAAAGTCGTATCTTCAAGGTTAGAAATTCTTTATTCTACTTTATCTTGTCTATTGTTGAAGCTGTCAATTATATTATGTTATTTCATTTATTAAATTTTTCCAATCTAGGATTTTTATTTGACTTTTTATGACATTTATTGCTTTCTTGAAGTTATTATTCAGATTATGAATTATTTCTCTAATTTTTATCATCTTCTATATCTCACTGAGTTTAATACCATGTTTTTAATTATTTCATCAATTTCCTTTTTCTGAAATTTTTTTTCTAGAAAATTACCGGTTTGTTTGGAGGTGTCACGTTTCCACACTTTTTTATGTTTCTTGTGTGCTTATGTTGGTATCTGCACATCTGATGTAATGGTTGTTTCCTTTAATTTTATGCATTGGCTTTCATAGGGAAACACTTTTTTCTATAGATGTATGTGTAGTATTGGTTGAGTAGGGTGCTTTGGCTTTGATTCTAGGTGAGCTCAATAGTGTAGTCTCCATATGATTTCTTCAGCTGTAATTAGCATCATTGGTGTCTGATTTCCTCAGTGGCTGAGGCTCCAGTGAGACTTTGCTGGGGATGGGAATGCCAGGCAACATGTGTTGCTAGTCTCTTAGCTAAAACATAGCGAGAGTCACCTTTACTGCAGTTCCCAACAATTTCCTCATCTTCATCTGAGACCACCTCAGCTTGGATTTCACTGTCCATATGATTATCAGCATTTTGGTCAAAGCCATTCAACAAATCTCTGTGAAGTTCCAAACTGATTCACATTTTCCTGTCTTCTTCAGGGCCCTCCAAACTGTTCCAACCTCTGCCCACTATCCAGTTCCAAAGTTGGTTCCACATTTTTGGGTATCTTTACAAGCACTGCCCCACTCTATTGGTACCAATTTACTGTATTAGTTCATTTTCATGCTACTAATAAAGACATACCCAAGACTGGGTAATTTATAAAGAAAAAGAGGTTTAATGGACTCATAGTTCCATGTGGCTAGGGAGGTCTCACAATCGTGGGGGAAGGCAAAAGGCATGTTTTACATTGCAGCAGGAAAGAGAGAGAATAAGAACCAAGTGAAAGTGGTTCCCCCTTATAAAACCATCGGATTTCATGAGACTTATTCACTAGCATGAGAACAGTATGGGGAAAACCGTTCTCCTGATTCAATTATCTCCCACCAGGTCCTTCCCACAACACGTGGAAATTATGGGAGCTACAATCCAAAATGAGATTTGGTGGGGCACACAGCCAAACTGTGTCAGCAGGAAACTGCCCAACTCTCCCCATAAAATACCAAGTTAAGCACCCCAGGTGAAGCAGTTAATATGCTTCACACAAAAACCCTGTTGGGCTGGTTTTATGATAACTGGGTTATCCTCTCGGCAAATATGCCTATTACCCAGGTCAAGGTAAATTTTGGAGTTCAGGGAGCCCCTTTTGCATTGGTGCCCCTCCCACAGAATCACAGGACTGTTGAAGAAGCCTTATCAAATTTGTTGTTCCTTATACGTCTCACAGATGCAACTCCCTGCTGGGAACCCAAACCCTTTTTCACCAGAAAAGATAAAATAGGCCTGGCGTGGTGGCTCATGCCTGTAATCCCCGCACTTTGGGAGGCCAACACACCCGGGTGGATCACCTCAGGTCAGGAGTTCCAGACCAGCCTGGGCAACAAGGTGAAACCCCATCCCTACTAAAAATACAAAAATTAGCCAAGTGTGATGGTGGGCACCTGTAATCCCAGCTACTTGGAAGGCTGGGGCAGGAGAATCGCTTGAACCAGGGAGGTGGAGGTTGCAGTGAGCTGAGATCATGCCACTGCACTCCAGCCTGGGTGACAAGAATGGGACTCTGTCTCAAAAAAGAAAAAAAAAAAAAGAAAAGGTAAAATGATCTGGGGCCAAGAACAAAACAAAACAAAACAAAAAAACAAACGAAAACATACAGTTTAATAGAATTATAAAATTTAAGACGTTTAAACAAACTTTATAGAATGTAGTTGTAAGCCCTTTACCTAAATGTCTTGTGAAAATGGGTACTACATCTGGCTGGGAGATGTTTCCCCTATCTAGTACTTCAAAGCTGAAGGCATGTAAATCTGCTCTTTGAGTAAATTTTAATTGAACACGCTGAATGGGAACTAGTAAAATTGCCTGAGCCCACAAAGTATTGGGTAGAAGCTAGAGTGCTAGTTGGGACAAACCCTCCTCTTCATAGCCATTTGTGGCACATTTATTGGGGCTGATGGCAAAAAACTGTAAATACTTCCCAATGACAATACTGAACTGAGAATTTCCACCTGAGAGGCATTTACTGCCTTGCTATGGAATTTTAACTGAAGCTATCCCTATGCTAATAAAAATGATGGTGCTCAAAAGAGTTCCATAAAAAAAAAAAAAATGATTTACATAGAATCTTGCTACCTGGGGATATTAGGAGAAAGTACTGATAAGTAGAGAGCCTCTTTCCTAGATTCTACCATGCCTGATAGACAGCTTTCATGAGCTGTTGGCTTGTAAATAGCATTTCCCTGATATACAAACATTGTTTGAAAGCTCCTGTTCTGGTTAAAGCAAGGTCAATAAAATCTTTTTCTTTTGAGTTATTTGAGTGAAGTATGTTTTTGTAAGCAAATTTATATTTCTCTTTGAGTTCTAAAATTTGGATTGTGATTTTATGACAGTATGGTTATTTTCATAAATTCAAAAAGCATCTTTTAAAACAAAAGAATTTGAGACACTGGTTATTTTACTAAGACTTTAACTAAAATAGCATATTTTTAGGTAAAGTTTAGTCAAGGTCAACTTAAAGAAGCCTATATGGCCAATCCATTCTTGCTGCATTTTAAATTAATTAATTAATTCTCTTTTGGAGATGGAGTCTTGCTCTGTCACCCAGGCTGGAGTGCAGTGGTGCGATCTCACTTCACTGGCACCTTTGCCTCTTGGGTTCAAGCGATTCTCCTGCCTCAGCCTCCCGAGTAGCCAGGACTGTAGGAGTGTGCCACCATGCCTGGCAAATTTTTGTATTTTTAATAGAAATGGGATTAAAAATACAAATCCTGTATTTTTACGTGGCTCTCCCTCATTTTGGCATCCCATTGAGCCAGGATCTGTATTTCACTGCAAATGCTCTGCTGCAAAAACTCTACAAGCACGCTTCCCTCTAGGCCCAGTTACTGTCACAGAAGAGGAGGGGGCATAATATTGTAAAGGCTGGTTTTAAAGAACAAAATTAGGTCAAGCTCAAACCCTCCAAATCAAGGAGGGGTACAAAAATGCCTAAACAGCTGATAAAACAAGTTGAGTTGCTTTCTAAACGAGTATGTGTCACTTTTGCATCTACCCCAACCATGAAATTTTTTTTGCTTATTATAGAATTACAGGAATATATTTACTAACAGGATAAAAAATACCTTGTAACAAAGCCTCTTGGGTGTAATACTCCCAGTTAAGAGTTATGAAGATAAACATGTCTCTCTATATATTTTTTCAGAACAATGCTTATGCTTGCATAGCTGATTGCTGTATGTCTTTAACAAAAGCCAAGCTTACAGTAGCTCAACACACAGAAGTTAAAAATAAGTCAGTCTCATAACTTGCCTTTTCATTTTTGTTTATTGGCTTTTACTTAAAATAATAATTTTAAGAAGTAATAAATGCATGTCCACATCCATTTTTATCTGGCCTAGAACAATCAATTGGCTAAAAGTCCTTTGACTCATAAGGCCTTCAGCTATAGGGAGTCCCACGGAGTATAGGATGGACCGGAGATGGCGAGCCATGCCACCCTGGCAATGCTATGGGACAAAATTAAAATCTGCTGGTCTTGGATGTTGCCTCTGGCAAATCTTGGCCAGAAAGGGAAGAATGTAAATGAAAAATAAAATTCAAAGGCCCCCCACAACCATCTGAATGGACTTCCTCTTCTCCAGGATTCAGGCGATGATGGGAAGTGGGAGGAGGGACATGCTTCATTATACCTCTCCAGCATTAACATTCACAATCTATTCTCTCTGAAGCTTGCTACCTGGATGTTTCATCTGCGTGATAAAATCCCAGGTCCTTAGACAAACTCAACCAATTGTGGTCAACCAGAAAATATTTAAATTTACCTATAGCCTGGAACCCCAACCCCCCACTCTCCTTAAATGTATTTGATTGATGACTCATGCCTCCCTAAAATGTATAAAACCAAGCTGCACTGGATTGGCCATCTTCTCACATATCATTTTTTTTCTATAAATGCAGTAATCATAATGAACATATATTCTATTTATATATCCACAAAACTTGTTATTTAAGTCAGATGCGTTTCGTATAACCCTGAAAGAGAAAGTAAAGAATTACACTTGGCAAGTCAGATATTTGAAACATATTCACAGAAAAAAAAAATTACACTTCCAACATGATATTATTGCCCTAGACTCTGCATTGTTTAAACTAAATCTAATTAATGTTCAGAGTATCAAGAATGTCCAAGTTAATTGTTTATGTTGACACATATGCAATGTCAAATACTGCTTCATTTCTCCCTGTTTTTTCCACTTTCTAACATCTGATATTTGCTGTCCTTTGCTTACAGACTTAGCACCCCAGCCCCTTCATGTATAATATAATTTGGAATAATACCATTCCGTAAGATTCTCTAGTCTAGCTGGCCCAGTAGTAAGTCTTGGACCCTGTCTCCCTCAAGTGCTTTTTATAATCATCAAAGTCAGGAATTCACCTGAGGTATGACACCTTAAGTTCAACATCATCTCTAAGTGATATTTTCAAAAGATTTTACTCTCAAGTTCTTTTTTTTTTTTTTTTTGAGACAAGAGTCTTGCTGTGTGGCCCAGGCTGGAGTGCAGTGGCGAGATCTCGGCTCACTGCAAGCTCCGTCTCCTGAGTTCACGCCATTCTCCTGCCTCAGCCTCCCGAGTAGCTGGGACTACAGGCGCCTGCCACCATGCCTGGCTAATTTTTTGTATTTTTAGTGGAGATGGGGTTTCACCATGTTAGCCAGGATGTTCTCGATCTCCTGACCTCCTGATCCGCCTGCCTCGGCCTCCCAAAGTGCTGGGATTACAGGCGTGAGACACCGCACCTGGCCTTTACTCTGAAGTTCTAATGACCAGCCCATAAATACTAGATTAGTGATCAGGGACTATGCATTAAAAACAAATTTATAAATTAAAAGAAAAAATCTTTTAGAATAATTTAGCATCAATATTTGGGTAAAAAAAATGACATCAACCAGTAAATAAGTTCATCAATTAAATTTTTAAGAATGAGATTTATTTGTGGTGACATAGTACAGATGTCATTTATTATGGCCCCCTTTCAGAAACAAACCCCAAAACAACACAGAGTTAAGAAATGAAAATAAGGTATGTATACATATATATATATATACACACACACATATATATCACACATACAATTATTATATCCTTTTTTCAGTTTTCTTTCTGATAATTGAAAATATCTACAATGTTTTCCATTCCATTATAGATTACCATTCCATTTGCAATAATTACAAACACATACATATTCTACATTTTCAAAACAAGATTCCATCTGTACTCTCTCCTGACACAACATTACCTTTGTCTCTAGTCCTTCACTACAAATTAGGCCTTTAAAATATATATCGTTCTCCACTTCATTTGTAGATAGCTTATCTCCCATTGTATCCTATCATTGTCAACCACCAGAGGTAGGGCCAACCATCAGAATGGAAATTAGTGTAAACTCTATGGCAATTTTTCAAAGAGCTAAAAACGGAATTACCATTTGATCCAGCAATTCCACTATTGGGTGTCTAACCAAAGGAAAAGGAATTATTGTATTTAAAAAAGACACCTACACTCAAATGTTCGTTGTAGAACTATTTACAATAGCAAAGCCATGGAATTGACCTAAGTGTCCATCAACGGATTATTGGATAAGAAAACGTGAAACCATGTTTTCTTTTAGAGTATATACACCATGAAATACTACTCAAGTATAAAAAAGAAGGAAATCATGACTTTGCAGCAAAATGGATAGAGCTGGAAATCATTCTCTTAAGTGAAATAACTCAGGAACATAAACTTAAATATTGCATGTTCTTACTTAAGTGGGAGCTACATAATATGTACCCATACACATAAAAAGTGGAATAATAGACATTGGAGACTCCAAAAAGTAGGATTGTGTCACAAAAATAAAGAATGAGAAATTATCTATTGGGTACAGTGGACACTATCCAGGTAATGGTTACACTGAAAACACGACTTCATCGTTACACAATATATTTATATAACAAAACTGCAACTGTACCCCCAAATCCATAAACTTTTTTAAATGCCCATTTCAAGTGTCATTTATAACAAAAGTATCATTGCTAAAATTTATATTTTGTTAGTCTGTGTATTCTTACTGAAGCATTTATCACACTATATTCTCTTTATCTCTAGCATCATTCAATCAGTCTGCACATACAATTGATGGTGAAGTAACTTTAGTGATGAATCCATATTTCATTCATCTTTGAACCCTAAAACTTAGCACAATATTAAGTATTTGTTAGTCCAGTGACTTTTCTGGGCTTCCATAATTTTTCTTAGATAAAATTAATTACAGAGGTCTCCATAATTTGGCTGCTGTAATTTTGTTAGTTACCTGTCAAAATTATAGAAGACATTTATGGTAACTTTCTGTATTAGAAAATACATCAAAGAAGCATGATAGAAAAGGGTGCTTTTAGGATGCAATTTCATTTAAATTGAAGCTGGTTTTAATTTGAATCTACAGTTCTTCTCCTAAGGAAAATACCTCTACTCAAACCCAACTATAAAATTTTAACAAGAATAGACACTTACCAGGCAGAGGAGTTGATTATATCATCCACGCTCATACCGTAACTGTAATCTTTTTCAGGAGATAATCCCAGCCAATAGGGATATGACGTACTCTGGGATTTTATAAATTCCTACAGGAAATACAGATGGTCTGTTTAAGAAACAGTCTCCTACTTTTGTATTTTACATTAGAATGTAATTTCTTACAAATTGCTGCTTTAAGGTAACATACTTGACATTGCACTACTACTATTAAATGTCATTATAAGAAATTGAAAGAAAGTACTCCTTATTACAAAATTTCAACATTTTTAACAATATCACAGCTGGTCTCACAAGAAGAGAGGCCCTACTAATCCATGTATAACCTTAATTTACAGTCAATGAAAAGTCCACAATGACAAGTTCAGAGTTCAAAATTTTGAGCAGTAAATATTGTGTCCAGGGCCAAAGGAAGTGGGCAATGGCTATAAACAAGAGTTAACAGAAACAGAAGGAGTAGGAAGAAAATGCCACAGACTTAGATGTGAGTGGTTACAGAACAGAATTCAGAACCAGTCCAGAATTTTGTAGCCAAATAACAGGTTTTTTTCTTATTCCAGCCTTTAGAAAATTTGTCTAGAGTAAGTAACTGTGGATGGGTCCTTGAGAATGATCTGATGAGGAAGAGATTATGGGTTGATTTCTCTCTCTTCTAGAAAGGATGATGAAAGTTTCTTATTGTGGGGAAGCAGAGACTTTTAGAAAATGTAATTTTGCTTAAAAATATATGATTACTCTTTGAGAGACCAAAAATGCTATGTAGTAAGTATAACATGGAAACATTATTTAGACATGGAAAACTAAGAAAATGAAAAAATCAATAAAGCTGCTAGAAAATACATTTTTCCTGGGATTCAAGGACTCAGGGCAATATATTTGTTTGACACTTGCCTGTGCCATCTTACTTCAGTTCTTCCTGTTTGTACATATTTTATGCTAACCTACTATAACTTGCCTATTTCTCTTAGTGAATTAAAAATTACAAAATGGTAGAAATAAAACATATGCTCCTATGTAGTTCTTACGGAATTACTAACCCTGAGGAATAATCTCCATATCCTCTGTTTTTAGATAAATGTTTACAAATTATGTTCTGAGATTTGATTTTAGATTCTAATTTGGAAATGCTTACAGACTTTGAGATTCTGGGTGCCCTGTAATACTCATCTACCTGTCGTCTAGTAATCCTCTTATGCTAAGGTCCTAACCTTGTATATGTTTTGCCTTGCCTATGATAATCTTGAGATAAGTGTACAAAGTTTCAGTCACTTCACACCCCAACTAAAATAAACCAGAATCATGAGTGGGTTGATTGAGGTCTTCTCCAACATGCCACATCCCTTTCTATCCCATGATGGCAGAAACACCTGGGCTTTACCAATGCATTTTTATTGTTTATCTTCAACAGGCTGGCATTCTGAGCAGCACAGGCCATTCTACTCTCCTGCCATGTTCGGCCATCATCACTTAGGAAATAACAGCTGTCCTTATGCCAAATCCATCTCCTTGGACAAGGCTTACATTTGTGCTCTGGAAGAAGAACATAGTTTTATTTAGGTTTTGTTGATAGTCATAATAATTCTTATTATTTCCTTTCTTCTCTGTGTGACATTGACCACATTTGCTGTTTATTCTTCTTTCTTTTTCTTTCTCTCTTTCTTTTTATTTATTTATTTATTTATTTATTTATTTGACAGAGTCTTGCTCTGTTGCCCAAGATGGAGTGTAGTAGCGCGATCTCAGCTCACAGCAGCCTCCACCTCCTGGATTCAAGCAACTCTCCTGCCTCAGCCACCCAAGTAGCTGGGATTACATGCTGTGTCTTCTTTTTACATCAAAAGGGAAGTAAGTGAATCCTGTATTCTAGTTCCTTATATACTACCATAATGTGTCAGACCCATAACTTGAACCAAAAAATTTCAAATTAAGCACTTGGATTCAAGTGTATCTTCCTGTAACAATTCCTCTTTGCTATTTTTTATATTCTTTAATGACAATAAAAACTAGTTACAGGAAACATTCTGCATAGTAAGAATGAACCCCACCTATCTATACAAATCTTACCTTCTTTAATTTTTGTTCTCTGAACTGTTGAAATTTTGAGGTTTCTTGGGAGCAAAAGGAATATGTTTTAGCAATCATGACTATAGAAACTTACGGAGACACTAGAAGACCAACTCCCCCTGATCCCAAAGGTGAAGTCTCTATTTATTTTTTCCTATGGAATTTGTTATCAATCACTGACTGAAATTTAAGAATGAAGTCACCTGTAAAGAGCTGTCACTTCCTCCCTATCTTCTATTAACCTCAGTGCCCAGAATAATTATAGTAACTGACAGATTAGAGAAACTGTCCTGTCTAACATTTTATTATGTAACCATTATCTCCTGATAATTTGAGGGCCTATTGCTCTTATGACTTCTTCTGTTTTTCTTCTAACTGTGTGGAAATATCAATGAATTCTCCATCAACCACACGTAATTCTTTCCCCCAAATTATGACTCCCTAGGGAAAGGCTGCTAGCTAATTATAAAATGATTCTTAAGAGACTCAGTGGTTTAGTTTATTGTCCAATAAATAACTCCAAGATTACCTTGTTCTTTGCTGTAGAGCTCACGACATAGTCTGGTGGCTATTGTTTGCAGCGTGGTGGAGAGGTTCCTGATCTTGTTGGAGCTGTTCATGTTACTCATCAGCTGTAGAGACACATTTCTTTGAAGCTCTTCATTGATATTTTGTAGTTTGTTCATTTTTTTCATTGCTGTCTTCAGAGTAATGTGAACTCCACATTAAAAAAATGAATTCTCAATAGAACCATCATCATCCTTTATCATTTGCAGAAGTAGTATAAAGATCAAAGGGGTAGGGAAAGCAATTACTCTACAGCAGTGAGGGAAAGAGACTGAGTTCTACATTGTAAGTCCCCCTTGTGGGCCTATCACCTATCATTATTATAAATCTTCCACTTAAGGAATAAACTTTAGTTGTTAAATATTTGAAATTCTAGATACTTTCTCTTTTGACCAAAACAGGGGCAGTACATACACATGCTTCCCAAGACTCCCAATCCAATGAGCATCAGAAGGCACAGAAGAGTCAGAAACAATGCTGCTGGACGCCATACACGAGAGGGAGCTGGAGGTGCTGTGGAAAGCAAAATTAACAGAGAGGCCTAAAAGTGGTATACACTTTCATTTGAATTATTTGCTCATTCATTCATTCATTCTTCATTCATTCATTTTATCTTTATTTCCTAATATGCCTATTGGAAAGAAGTGGATTTACTAGCCATTCAAGAATATTCAAAGAATATTTTTGAAGAATATGTCAAGAATAAATCAAAATCACTTCATTGTTTTGTATGTAAATTGATTCTAGCAGGAGAAGCTGTTAACTGGTAGACTGATTTAAAAAATCAGATAAGCAAAAACAGAATTTGTAATAGAGAATGGAGAAAACCAGTCAACCTAGACATGGTGTATTTTGTTTATACAAATTTGGGAAAAGTCAGTAGCTGGAAATTAACAGAGAAGCCAACAGGAGTAGTCTTTGCTTGAGTAGACAATTGTGGCATGTCAAGAAAAACACTTTCAGTTGTTTATGTATCCCCCCCCACCAGGTAATTATGAGAATTTAGCTTCAGAACAAACAAAATAGGCTGTCTCTTTGTAATGTCTTTGGGTATCCTCCCATTAACTTTTGATCTTAGTCAGTCCAGATCTACACCATCTTTATTGTAATTTTTCAAAAATTTTTTCATGCTTTTTTGCAAGAAATTTTTATTGAATACTTCCTTTTTAGGGAATAGTGAATCCTAGAATAGATCATTTCTCTATTTAAAAAAACAGAAATTATAAACTTTATAATATGAGTGAATTATTATTGTGACTATGTTATTTAAATAATCATTATGTATAAAGGTATTACACATTAAGTAAAGACTAGCCAGGTATTTCAAGAAAATACAATGCTGGGATACTATAATAATCTTACTATACTTCTGAGCTATGTCTTACATCTCATAGTTGATGGTGCAATAATATTGTGAAATTCAGAGATAATCACTAATAAAAAGTAAAACTTAACTTCTATAGACTTTAGAAAATAGTTACTACTGAAAGGACTACATGGTCAAGATTTTTATCTAAGATTAGAATTATAAATTCAAGCACTCTTTCCTAAAATTATTTTCTTATTTATATATGTATTCAATTATTCAAAAGTTTATTTATTCAATGAACTTATTCGATTATTAAAAAGTTAGATTATTCAAAGTTATCTTTTGAGTGCCTTGTATTTATTAGGCATTATCCTGGGTGCTAACAATATCGAAGTGAGCAAGATGTACACGTTGCTGTTTTCATAGAAATAAATTTTAATTGTAGGAGGAAATAGATAAATAGATATATAAGTGAGACAGGAAGAAAGGGAAAGAAAGGGAGAAAAGATCTCAAATTTGGCTATGTTGTGCAGAGATTTGAAATTAAGCTGTTATAAAGAGCAGGCAGTTCAAATCTTATGAACATGAGGAACCAGCATGCAAAATCAGTAGGAAGAACATTACAGGTAGCAATTACATGAAGTTCAAAGACAACAATTTAAGGAAAAGATTTCTATTTGAAAAGCAGAATATATTCAGAGGGGCAGAAGAAGGGTGGCCAATGTGAAAAATTATGTTAAAGAAGGTTTTATTTGTTTTCTTTTGTTTTGTTTTTAAAATAACAAGGAGGAAACATTATTTACAGCCTTTTCTAGCCAGAGTAAGTTAGATTTTTGGGGAAAGCACTGGAAGAATTTAATCTAGGATGGCAAAATAAAGGAGTTGTTTTATCAGTAAGAAATCTGTTACAATATGACATGGAAAGAGAACAGTATTTTGATTAGCTAGCACTAGGGAATTTGATGACCCATGGATAAATTAAGTATACATTTTTAAGCTAAAATCTATGGCACAAATTTATGAAATTTTTCTTTAGAGAAAGTTGGTAGATATGCACATTTGTAGGCAGTATCTCATAGTGATAAAAAGCAAAATGCCATTTTTAGGGTTAGCATGTGTATTAGTCCATTTTCACATTGCTAATAAGACATACCCAAGACTGGGCAATTTATAAGGAAAAAGAGGTTTAATGAACTTACAGTTTCACATGGCTGGTGGGGGCTCACAATCATGGTGGAAAGTGAAAGGCACGTCTCACATGGTGGCCAACAAGAGAAGACAGAACTTGTGCAGGGAAACACCACTTTATAAAACCATCAGATCTCATGACACTTATTCACTATTACAAGAACAGCATGGGAAAGACCCCCACCACATGATTCAATTACCTCCCACCAGGTCCCTCTAACAACACGTGGAAATTGTGGGAGCTATAATTCAAGATGAGATTTGGGTGGAGACACAGCCAAACCACATCATTGCACCCCTGACCTCTCCCAAATCTCATGTCCTCACATTTTGAAACCAGTCATGCCTTCCCAACAGTCCCCAAAATTCTTAACTCATTTCAGCATTAACTCAAAAGTCCACAGTCTATCTTTAAAAAGGCAAGTCCCTTCCACCTATGAGCCAGTAAATTCAAAAGCAAGTTAGTTACTTCCTATATACAATGAGGGTACAGGCATTGGATAAATACAGTCATTCCAAATGGGAGAAATTAGCTGAAACAAAGGGGCTATAGGCCCCATGCAAGTCCAAAATCCAGCAGGGGCATCAAATCTTGAAGCTCCAAAATCATCTCCTTTGGATCCATGTCTCACATCCAGGTCATGCCGATGCAAGAGATAGGCTTCCATGTCTTTGGGCAGCTCTGCTCCTATGGCTTTACAGTCTCCCCCCTGGCTGCTTTCATGGGCTGATATTGAGTGTCTGCAGCTTTTCCAGGTGGACAGTGCATGCTGTCAGTGGATCTACCATTCTGAGGGCTGAAGGATGGTGTTTGACTTCTCACTGCTCCACTGGACAGTACCCCACTGGGGACTCTGTGTGGGGCTTCTGACCTCACATTTCCCTTCTGCACTGTCCTAGCAGAGGTTATCCATGAGCACCCCATGCCTGTTGCAAACTTCTGCCTAGACATCCAAGTGTTTCCATACATCCTCTGAAATCTAGACGGAGGTTGCCAAAACCCAATTCTTGACTTCTGTACACCTCAAAGGTTCAACACCACATGGAAGCTACCAAGGTTTGGGGCTTGCACCCTCTGAAGCCATGGCCTGAGCTGTACCTTAGCCTCTTTTAGTCATGGCTGGAGCAGCTGGGATGCAGGGCACCAAGTTCCTAGACTGCACACAGCAGAGGGACCCTGGGCTCAGTCCATAAAACCATTTATTCCTCCTAGGCCTCTGGGCATGTGATGGGAGGGGCTGCTGTGAAGACCTCTGATATGCCCTGGAGTCATTTTCCCCATTGCCTTGGCGATTATCATTTGGCTTCTCATTACTTTAGAAATTTCTTCAGCTGGTTTGAATTTCTCCTCAAAAAAATGGGATTTTCTTTTCTTTATCATTGTCAAGCCACAGATTTTCTGAACTTTTTTGCTCTGCTTCCCTTATAAAAGTGAATGCTTTTAACAGCACCCAAATCAAATCTTTAATGCTTCACTGCTTAGAAATTTCTTCTGCCAGATATGCTAAATCATCTCTCTCAAGTTCAAAGTTCCACAAATTTCTAAGGCAGGAGCAAACTGCTACCAGTCACTTTGCTAAAATATAACAAGAGTCACCTTTGCTCCAGTTCCCAACAAATTCCTCATCTCCATCTGAGACCACTCAGCCTTATCGCCATTTTTGTCAAAGCCATTCAAGAAGTCTCTAGGAAGTGCCAAAGTGTCCCACATTTTTCTGTCTTCTTCTGAACCCTCCAAAGTATTCCAACCTCTGCTAGTTACCCGGTCCCAAAGTCTCTTTCACATGTTTGGGTATCTTTACAGCAGTGCCCTACTCTACTGGTAACAATTTACTGCATTAGTTCATTTTCACACCGCTGATAAAGACATACCCACAACTGGGTAATTTATAAGTAAAAAGAGGTTTAATGGACTCATGGTTCCATGTGGCTGGAGAGGCCTCAAACTCATGGTGGAAGGTGAAAAGCACATCTCACATGGCAGCAGACAAGAGAAGAGAGAACTTGTACAGGGAAACTCCTCTTTATAAAACCATCAGATCTCATGAGACTTATTCACTATCACAAGAACCTCATGGGAAAGACCCTCCCCCATGATTCAATTACCTCCCACCATGTCCCTCCTACAACATGTGGGACTTATGGGAGCTGCAATTCAAGATGAGATTTGGGTGGGGACACAGTCAAACCATATCAGCATGTTTTGGTTTGAATTCTGGTTCTGCTGCTTATTGCTTGTGAAACCATGAGAAAGTTATTTAACATCTTTTAACATCCATGTGTCTAAGCTTCAGTATTGTTAAAGAAAGGGAGAGAGAAAGACTGCAAAATATCAGACACTAAATGGCTTAATATTTGTAATGCAATTAGAACAGAACTGGCACAGAGATGAGGCTGTCTGGAGAGAGAGACCATTTTAGAAGAAAAATAAGTATTACTATTTTTGACATTTTAAGTTTAAAATGAGATTAGAACTTCTTATGGAAATGTGAAAGAGGCACTTATATTTTCTAGTCTTGAGATCCAGGGAAAGGTCCTACAGAGATATCTGGGAGTCCCTCTATTTAAAGTCAAACAACTGAACAAGGTAGATTAGATGAGTGTATTGAGTGATGCAATAAAAGGGGACACAGGACACGGCTCCAGTGTATTCCATCTTGTAGAGTTTCATCTAGAAGAAAGAGTCAACAAAGACTGAGGAGAGGCAGGCATGGTGACAGGAGAAGCCATAAGGATGTGTCAGGAAGGATGTGCAAAGAAAGCCTTTAGAGGACTGTTCAACTTTTTGAATGCTGCAGGGAAGTGAAGTAATGGAAGAGACATGTGATTACTGGGATGAAACAGGCAAGACATCAGTGACCTAAAGCTCAGTCTCCAGGACACCATGGGGGCAGAAGCCTAATAGAGTTGGTTGAGAACAGAATGAGAAGTGAAGAACTGAGAGTCAGTGGCCAAAGAAAATGCTTTCAAAAGTTGAGCTGTGAAAGGAAACAAATAAGTTACATAATAATAGAAAGGCTTAAGTGGTCAAGCAAGGATTGTGTTTTGTTATGATATGAATATGTTGGTGAGTAGTAGAGTATGTTAGTGCACTAAAAAGGAAAAGCAGAGAAGGAAGAGAGAATAATGACACAGGAGAGAAAGGAAAAAAATTACAGAAGTCTGTCTTTGAAAAGGACACATGGACTGAAATTCAGAGCAAAATGGGGAGCTGTCCTTTCATAAGTACATACCTATCGTAAATACTGTCTGGAAGGAAGGCAGAGTATCAGTAAAGACATTGTAGGATAGAAATTTAAATAACAAAAATAAAAAGTGTAGGTTGATGCTTTTTTCTCACCAGAGGAAAGGTAAGAGTAACTGGAGTTGAAAATTTGTGCATTTTTCACCAGCAATATTCAACTCTGGGGCAGACTGGGTAGATATTTGGGTTTAACCAGAACTGGAGTTGTTTTTATTTGTTGGTTTTTGGGCTTTTCGTTTTGTTTTGTTTTGATTTGTCTGAGGCGGGATCTTGCTGTGTCACCTAGACTGAAGTACAGTCACCTGATCATAGCTTACTCTGCACAGCCTCCAGTTCCTGAGCTCGAGTAATCCTCTTTCCTCAGCCTTCCAAGCAGCTGAGACAATGGGTGCCCAGTTAATTAAAAAAAAAATTTTTTTTTATAGACATGGCATCTCTCTACTTTCCCCAGGCTGGTCTCAAACTCCTGGCCTCAAATAATCCTCCCATCTTGGCCTCTCACAGTGCTAGGACTGTGGGTATAAGTCACTGCCCCTAACCAGAATTGAAGTTTTTAAGGAAAAATTAACATACATTGAAAAGGAGAAATGTAAGAGACTAAGAGTAGACATTACATAATACAATGTTGTATTACACAATGTGGATTCTAAGCTGGATAATGAGAAAATTAGATGAGATTAAGAACATGAAGAAGACATGGATTCAATATTTGCATGAATTCAAAGAATTCTTGTGGTGGGAACTTAAGGTGGATTGGCAGGAAAAGAGGTGGGAAAGGGCATGAGGGGACAAGTAAAGGGCAATTGTTGGTAATATTAAGCTCATGATATGCCCATTCTCTTTCGGCATATAGAAGAAGAAATACAAACAGGGAAATAAAGACAGAAATGTTGTAAAATTTGTAGACCCTTCTTCTTTCTAAGAAAATTTCAGTATTAAAAAAGAAGCCCACAGAATTAATCTGCTGTCCTTTCTCAAGATTTACAATGCTCATGATAAATAGATTCAAGATGTAACAGTGAAATTTCTGTTTATAGCAATGCTAGAATATTAAAGATGTTATATTCTGTGTGGGGATAGGGGAGGGGACAAAAAGTTAAATAATATATGAGAATTTTGGCACTCTTCTCTCCTTATTTCTCTGTTTCTATCACCCTTCTTTGTGTTCTCCATTATCACTGTTTAAGTTACTTTTAACTCAAATACACTGGTTTAAACTATGGATTCACTAGGGCAGATTTCACTCCAAAAGGCTGGGAGCCAGAAGGTAAGAACCATACATAATAGGAAAACTATAGGATTCTGAGTAAGATGAAGAGTAGTTTTGTTTAAGTGAAAGTCAACACAGATGGTCCACTTATTTCATGATTTTAATTTGAATTGAAAAATACAAAGCTTCCTGATATTATGTGGTTTTGAATATTATGAACACGTTATGTCTTCTGATATTTCTTTACTTCCTTTATTCCTTAATTATTCATTTCATTTAACTTAATATATTTTATTTTTTAGTAAGTTATTAAAAAATCTCCAAAAGAAGTAGGAGAAATTTTAGGGTGCCTAGTTTGACAGATAGTCAAATGAAATCCTTTAAAGATCTCTCTGACTCTTTGTCTGTCTCTCCTTCTTTTCTCCATGCATACCCAAAGCATTTTCTTATTAAAAAAACACACATACACAGATGTGAAATCATGACTTTCCTGAACATGTTCCTTTTTCCATGGCTTCATCTCATAAAGAAATAAAATCTTCACACAACCCAATCATTTGAAAAATTCTGTCCCAATTATATTGAGTGTGATAAAAAATTTCAAAAATGTAAAGGATTGAGTCTTCAATGCACAGATAAGTGTTTTTACAGAACCCTTTTTTCCTAATCATTTTGTTTATATACTTTTGGTTCCTTTGCTTAAACATAAGAGGCTTAATTGAAAATTTAAGTTGAATAATAACTGTATTACTAATACTGAAGATGCAAGGCTGTAACCACTTCTATTACACAAACTTATGACACATCCATAACTCAAAATCTTACCTTTTTCCCCAAATTTGCCAATTTCTTGGATTTTTTCTGTCTCACTGGAGTTCTGGAATTTAAGATCTGCATAAGTAACTTCTTCAGACATTGATGAATATGTAAAGAAATCTTGACAAAGTGTAAAAACACAAAAAGGTGAGAGTGAGTTAACAGAGCTGAATATTAAACAGGACCTATAATTTTAAACTTCTGTTTATAAACGGAAGCTTAAGCTTACAAGTTTAAACTTCTGTTCATAAACTGACTGTACCAATCACCCATATGTCTGCAAATGAGCGATGTCTCATCTGTGGCTTCAGTTAAGAACACTGAACTGTTGCAACAGGCAATATCTTTCTTCCTCATATTTCTTCCTTTTTCTCAATTTCTGCATATTTACCAACTACAGAAAGTAGTTTTTGAAATTGTGTTTGGATAATATTACTAGTGTCATGCAAGAGAACACAAATAACTAGCACCATATGGTGCGGACATAGTGCAGGATTTATTGGTGAAAAACTTTCAAGCAGAAAAATAACAGAAAAGATACAGTTCTCAGACACTCACTGATCTGCAGCTGTGGCCTGGCATAGATATTCCTTTTGTATCATGATGAAGGTCCTGATAGAAGGGTTCTGTTCACTGGGAGACTGAACATGCAGAGAGCACTCCCAGGGAGAATGAGGCAGTTAATGTCATTCCATTGCCATGTTACATAGCTATAGGTTTGCCCAAGAGAGGTAGGGAACGCCTAGTTTCTCTAAATAACAAGATATAGGTTGGTGCAAAAGTAATTGTGGTTTTTGCCATTAAAAGCAAAAGTAATTGTGGTTTTTGCTTTTAAATGTTTACAAAATTACTTTAGCGCCAACCTACATATTAAGGGATCTGAGGCCCAGAAACCACACCAGGGAGTATGTATACTGATGACCAAGGTCTGTATACTGAGGACACTGGGAACAGCTTTGCAGGCCAGGAAAACTATAATCAGCCTTGCTCTCTCTCTACAGACTGACTCAATCCATTTGATCGCCTCCTCAGCTAAGCTACCAAAAGTGGGAAGGAAATGAGTCTCCAAAGTCCACATTTGTGTCTTATTAGTTAGACTCAATAGTCTTAGTATTTTTGATCTCATGTCTTGATCAAGTATGCAAGTGGAAGTGAGGGGTGGAGAGGACTGTTTTTGAGTATGTTTTCTAATATTAGTTAGTAAATCTTACTGTAAAATTCTTCTTGACATTGCCACATGTAAATCACAAAATGGTTAGGCATGATTATTATACATATAAAAGAGAATGCACAAAGATTTTAAAAAATCAATTAAAAACTAATTGCTTTATTATGTCAGGATAGACAGGAAAAATAAAAGGCTCCCTTTGTAAGAGCTACTAAAAATACATAGGACAATATTACAGATAGAAATTAACTAGATATTTGCACAACCAATATGAACAAAACAGTTTTAAAGCTATTGAAGAAAAGAAAAAAAATAGAAAAACATGCTGTGGGATTAGAAGCATCAATACTGTATAAAAAGAAACTAAATTCTCCTAAATGTATCAAAAAATTCAATGTCGATTTAATTAAAACAATAGTAGATTTTTCTCCTGATGCTTAAAGAAAAAGCTATTGAAATACAGTTGAAAATATTACCATGAAAATATTGGCAGCCAAATTTAAAGGAAAATATATTCAAAACATGATTACTTCATCCTAAGTACTTTATTAATGTTAATTTTATCTTTACAACTCTCTAAACCAGGTATTATTATCATCCTTATTTTACAGATGGGGAAGTGAGTTGTGAAGTGGTTAAGTTTGTATCCAACATCACACAATTGGTGAGTGGTAGAGTTCAGACTGGACCAAAGTCTCCGGTTACCTTGTTCAAATACGTGCACAGGCTCTAATGCCTCCCCTGGTGGGAAAGACTAGCCCTCTGCTTTTCCTAGGTGGATCAAATATTTGTATATAAATATTTGTTTATAAATATATCTTTGTTTGTGAAAGGATGGAAACCGGCCACCACACAGGCAGAGTCTCGTTCTGTGTTATATTGCTCTGTTGTTTCATGTGGAAGATGGTTTCATCAATCAACACTAGAAGATGAAGAGTATGTGATGAATTGTAAGAGGAAACAAATGAAAAATCTCAAAGTCCTGTTTGCAAGGTACTCTATTTTGTTGAAAATATTTGAATAACTATTACTTCATACAAAATCCTTGGTTTAGAGCCAGCTAAAACATTCATATGCACATGAATAAGCTGAGATCTGAGATGATTTAATGGTTTGCCCTTCACAGCCTATATCAGTTTTTTTTTTAAATTTTGTTATTGATATACAATAGTTGTACATATTTTAGAGGTACATGTGATATTTTGAAACCTGTATACAATGTGTGATGACCAAATCAGGGTAATAAAAATATTCATTCCCTCAAACACTTACGTTTTCCTTCTGTTGGGAATACTACAATTCTTCTCTTTTAGCTATTTTGAAATATACAATAAATTATTGTTAACTATAGTTTTCCCACTGTACTATCAAATACTAGAATTTGTTCCTTCTGTCTAATTTTATTTTTGTACCCAACCAACTTATCTTTATCCCCCACCACCCCTTTCCAAGCATCTGGTAACCACAATTCTACTCTCTGCCTCCATGAGATTCATTCCTTTAGCTCTCACATATGAGTGGGAACATGTGATATTTGTCTTTCTGTGCATGGCTTATTTCAGTTAACATAACGACCTTCAGTTCCACTCATGTTTCTGCAAATGACAGGAATTTATTTCTTTTTTATGGTTGAATAATATTCCATTATGCATATATACTACAGATACCTGCACCCCCCCCGTTTATTGCAGCATTATTTGCAATAGACGAGATATGAAATCAACCTATATCAATTTTCATTCCAGTTGAATACTAAGAGACAATCTGCAAATATAATTACAAATGTCTTCCAATATTAAACATAAGTGATACATTATCCATTACCTAAATTATATATTTTTTTGTGGGTTGTTATAATGGAAAAAAGAGAAAGAAATGAAGATAGGTGAAGAAAAGTGCACAGGGATAAAAAGTTGGAGACACACACCTTCAGAGTCACATCATTTAAAAGGTGAGAGACCATAGTGACAGTGATATACTCAGGTACAAAAAGGAAACACACACTTGGGATCCAAAAACCAAAAAACAGGTTATACATTAAAAGGAAAATTTAAGAAGATAAAATAACAAGACAACTTACAAGATGTAGCTAAGACCAAAGGAAACCAATGAGGGATAGTGAAATACCCCAGGGCTAGCTACTGTGAGAAGCCATTACTACCATTAGGCCTGAGAGAACAATGCTGGTAGCAATTAACTGAAGCAGCAGAAAGTACAGCTGATGAAGGCTGCCTCCCCGGAGGTACACTCAGTGAGAACAACTTCATATCCATTTCCTAGTGCTGTAGGGAAGGATTTTCCCACCTTTAAATCTTTGCCTATTCTTCCTATTGGTACCAACATATCTAGAGCTTCAGGACAATAGTGTCCAGGGATATTATACGTAAGAGTCAGCATCCTAGGGCACTGCAAAGGGATTAGAATGGTGAATAGTAGATCTACTGATATCATTATCTGAACCGTATGTAGGTCAGTTTTTATCATTTGATTTGTCAATTGGTGTTTTGATATTTAGTTCTTTTTCTTTTTAGGTTGTTTCATAATTTTTAATTAAATGACAGGCTTTATGTATTAAAAACAGAGATTTTAAATGATCTTCCTACCAAAAAGTTTTGTTTCTTTTTTTCTGGCAGTCACATAGAATATAAGCAGTAAACCTTGATTAATTGGAGCCCCTCAAATTTTGCCTTCTCAGTTATTTTATATGTTTTATCCACATTTTATAATTATCTTTTTGTAGGTTTCTTTCATCTGATACAAGCTGCAGTGCTATGACTAGAATTGGCTTTATTCTGGGTTTGTTCTCCAACAAACTAAAATTGAGAGGTTATTCGGTGAGGAAGGAATGTAGCTACGTGCAGGCAGAAATGTAGCTATGTGCAGGCAGAAATGTAGCTGTGTTGGGGAGGTAAACCAAAAATGAAATTCTAAGGCCCCCCAGCCATCTGAATGGACTTCCTCTTCAACTAGGGCTGTTTGAAAATTTAACCCAGAGAGACGGGTTCAGGCCATGACAGGAAGTGGGTGTCGAACATGTTTCATTATAGCTCTCAGGTATCAATACTTACAGTCTATTCTCTCTCAAGTCTGCTATCTGGAGACTTCATTTGCATGATAAAACCTTGACTTCTACAAGCTCTTATCACAACCCAGACGTTTCCTTTCTATTGATTCCAGGTCTTTAGATAAACTCAACCAATTGCCAATCAGTAAATGTTTATAGTTAATTGCAGTCTCATATCTCCCTCAAATGTTCGAAACCAGTGTGTACCTGAACCACCTTGGGCGCATGTGCGCAGGGCCTCCTGAGGGCTGTGTCATGGGCATAGTCTCGCATATTTGGCTCAGAATAAATCTCTTTAAATATTTTACAAAGTTTGACACTACGTGGACGGGGGAAAATCGAAATTAGGCAGAGGTAAGGAAAAACTCATGCTGACTGAAGGATCTGTAGTCTCATTTTCTGGGTATGGTGCTCTGATGAGTTTCAGTTCCTTGCCTGAAAGTCGGTTTCCTGAGCAAGAATCTCAGGAAAGCAAATAAGTTTTGTTTATTTTTGTTTTTTTGTTTGTTTGTTTTTGTTTTTGTTTTTTGTTTTTGTTTGTTTTTGTTTTTGAGACGGAGTCTCGCTCTCTCCGCCAGGCTGGAGTGCACTGACCTGATCTCGGCTGACTGCGAGCTCTGCCTCCCGGGTTCACACAATTCTCCTGCCTCAGCCTCCTGAGTAGCTGGGACTACCAGACAGGGTCCATTTCTGTTACAAAAAAAACAAAAAAACAAAAAAACCAAAAAAAACCCACCTGTAAATATTAGCTCTAGGAGTTCTATGAGTTCTATGAGACAACAGGGCTGGTTTCAGTCTCTCTTTTCTATTTATCACTTCCTCAGTCATGGAGAATCTGGTCGCTGATCCTTCTGGCTGCTTCATGCTGAGGAGGGGTGAGGTGCAATAATGATGAGGAATGGAAATGTGGCACTATAATCAGAAATACTCATGAGTACCGGGTCAGCATCTGGCTTGTTGGAGCACTATGATCGGGGTATTTTATTTTAGTTTTAGAACCACATTTGAGGCCACATTGAACTAGGATGATAAATAATATAGATAAACCAATTTTAAA